GGTCCCTTCCAGCCCAAACCAGTCTGGGATTTTGTGATCTTGTGTCTTGCCAGTGTTTCACACACCAGCAGCTGAGTCAGCTCAGGAGGCCACTGCCTTGTGACAGAGGGGTGTCACCCTGACAGCTGAGCACAGCCTGCCTGGTACCACGGGCCGTGGACTTCTGTCACAAAACCATTGCAGTGGAAAGCGTATCATTCCCATAAACCTTCAATTAATTCTGCCAAGCACTGAAATACGCCATGTGGTGGCGGGCTACAGATAACATTCAGTAGAAAAATCTTTGCATTTCTTATGGCTGCCAACTTACAATTCTTAAAAGGGAAAGTAATCAGGAAAAAAGCCTGGTTTAAGACAACTGGCTGTTTAATATTCTGCGGAACCTGGAATATATTTATTTTATTGTAATTGTATTGGAGGTTGCTTCCTCTTCAAATGCATTGTTGGCTAGCACACCTGCATGAAACTGGGCATCAAAATATGTGGCAAAGTTTCTGAAGAAATAAATACTGACCTGAGTTGTAGATGGAAAATTGAAATAATCTAATAAGAGATATTTTTAGGCGAACCCAGAAGGTAGAGCTTTCTAGATAAAAACAGGAAGATAAAGGCTACTGTTGTATATATAGCAAAGGTTATATAAGAGCAAATTGGTGATGGGGAAATATTTATTTTCCTTTTCCAGAGTGCACCTCTTCTTCCCTATATACTCTCTCTTGTAGTTATTCAACCCTTTATTAAGACAGTTTTTGTTTGTTTCATGATTTAAATATATATAACTTTTCCCCAGTAATATTTTTGCTGGTCTGCTGAGTTGAACTGGCTTGCAAAGATGTTGGACGAGCACCATAGCTAGTAGTGTGTGTGAAGTGGTATGTGCGTCAAGGAGTAAGATTAGGAAGTACAAGGCCTTGCCATGTCAACAGCAGTAAACTGTTAGAGCAGGTCACCCCGCCTTGTGAGTGAGATTATCTGTTGATTGTTAGAAGAAATTAACAATTGATATTGTTCTGGATGGATGCTTCTTTGCATCCAAATAGGTTTGTTAGGGTCTAGTGAAAGAAAATATTTAATGAATTAGGACTTAAATACTGCTAGTAAGAAGTTAGGAATTTATTTCAGACTTAACAGTGTGCCACCGTATTTCTCTCAGCATTCGTACACCTTGTTGTTTGTTTTTTGTTTCACTTCCCTTGTCTTCAATTTGAAGTAGCCCGGCATTCAGAGATAATCAAGAGCTTTGTTGAAAAGACTGAATTTTTCTCTGCTGGATAAGAGAGAAAAACTCCACTTCCTGAAGAGAAACTCAGGTGGTACCACCTCTTACCAGCAACAATTCATGTTACTGCAAGCTACTTCTTCTAACAGCACTGTGCCGAAAGTTGGCCAGTAGTTCTGAGGTTGAGGCCATGTTGTTTTGTTAGGACAAGTCCTGTTCCCAGGGAACAAGGCTTATAACATGACTGTGCTCATTTGCTGCAGGATGAAAGCAGAGAGAGGGTTATTCACAATGCCTGAGAAACACAGGTGTCTTGGCCAAATGCCCCATACAGGTTCCACCTTTCCTGAGTTCAAATGATTCCTGTCTTCCCTTCTAGGCTGTTTCTGTGGGACTATGTCTTGCAGGATCCGAAAGATGCTGCATGTCTCTGTTTCCTTTAATGGGGATAAAAAATGCTAAATATTCACCCAGCTGTGGAAAACAGCTCAGGTGCTGAGGTTTTATGACCCTGTTAGAGAACCCCTAGTTAAATTTTGATTGATGTCTTCTAGCAATGGAAGTCATGCAGAAGGATTTGAAAGCTTTTCTGAAGTCAATGGTGATTTTTACAGAGAAGGCAAAGGGACTGCTGCCTTGGCCTTCAGTTTTCATTTTTCCTGTTTTTTTTTTTAAAGTCAATTTCACTAAGTTGTAAATTATCGTTAGTGATTATAATCTCCTAGCTATCCCAGCAAGAATCATCATTATAAACAAAAAGCACTTACTCATTGTTTTTCTCCTCACTTATTTCTAATTGCTCTTAGTATTCATTTGATAAAAGGAAAGGTGGTCTTGCACTCAGAATGTATCTTTTTCTGCTTTTTAAATAAATTCCATCTATGCTTTTATACATGATTTTTGCTTGACACCTAAATTGTAGCAGTCTGACTAAGCAGTCTTCCAGTTGCAAGCCTACAGTAAGGAACTGATGCGGGAGGGCTGGGGCGGAGGAGAGGGGGAAAAATTAGAGGGGAGTTCCAAGTTTCTACAAGGTTATAATCACAAATGAGCGAAGAGCAAAGACAGATGGAAAACAACTGAAAAGATCATGCAGAAAAGGTAGCACCAAGTACAGACGCTTTGTCGTATAGAATGGTGTAGGTAGTTTGAATCATCTTCGCGCAGCTTTGTTTTCAGACTGTTATTACAAAGCTTTGGTGGAAGGCAAATAGCAGCTGTAATCTTGATTTGTGCTTTCTCTGTTTGCAGGCTGAGGTGGAAGAAACACTGAAGCGAATTCAGAGCCAAAAGGGAGTGCAGGGAATCATTGTTGTTAATTCTGAAGGTACTGTGTCAGTCTCAGTTTTCTGAGATATAACTTATTCTAAACATGCACTTGAAGGACTGCTGATTGTACTACTTTGGTTTAGATTACAGTCTGTCTTTTGCAAAGGTTTTCATGTAGCCAAAGCAGACAGACAGTAGTTAGGCTGCAAGAGAAAAATTGGATTCCCATTTCTGCAAGCTCACTTTATTATTTTAGGACACAAATCAAATAAAACAAATTGCAAAAGCTTAGAGATACTTGAGTTATGGCAGTGTTTGAGACTGTGTTCTGTGAAAGCCTTTATCAGTAGCACTAAAAACTCTCATGACACCTGAAATCTTGCTGCTGTGCATGTCCAGAATGCTGCTGTCCTGGCAGACTCGAGTAGCTTAGCAGCTGTCTCGTGCTCATGGCTTTGCGAGACTCATCAGCTTGTCTCTTTTTGGAGTCATTGAAGGATCCAATAGAGCAGACTTGTTCAGAGCATTCTAAATACACTGTGAGCAGCCCAGCTTCTTAGAATTGTATGATTATCAATTTAAATTTAATATTTCCTAGAAATAATCCTTAGAAAAGATGACAGATATTAGCTATATATGAATACCTTGAAGATCAGATCATTGTGTGCTTGTATGCAGCTTGTGTTCCCACTCACTGCTGTTTCATGATACTGAATAATGGATTGCGCTTTCTAGGCTGAAGCTGCGCTTATTTGAACATACACCTGCAGTAGTCATTCTGCCGTGCCAGTATTTGGTAGTTGGCTGCTGCATTGTTCTGACACATGAGCTGAATTTTGACTGGCTTTTTGTGGGAAGACGTTAAGGCAGCGAGAGCTCTGGCCAAGCAGTGTCAGTGTGTTTGCCCTCTTGGCTAGTGCACAGGAATTGAACCAGGGACCTTGCAGGACTGCATCAACTCTTACGGCTAAATGTTGGAGCCTCAGCTTTGAAACTGTGTGATGCAGCAGCTGATGTCCTCTGTAATCAACACCGATCCTGGCCTCGCTTGAACATCGCAGTTAAATGACATTCAGGAGCCTTTCTGAAAGGAAAAGCTGTCCCCAGTCAGGAGAACAAAATTGAAACATAGGTATTTCCTCTCTCCTCCTAGATATTTTTTTTTGTTATTATTTATTTCTATTTGTAAATCTCATAAATAAACGAAAAAGCAAAAGTAAAATACTGATGCTGCTAGAGGTAAACAGTTCTCTCATACACCTGTGGTTCCGGATCTCAGCCTTTCCACATCTTATTTCTGTTCATGTTCTTCTTTTAAGCCTTTGAAAAGAGCACTCCTAACCCCTAGTGTAGCAACAACATCTGGGTGATGCCCAAGGCGGAGTTAGTTCTGGAGTTTTGTCGCTGAGCTTTGCTGTCCCCTGTTTCTTGCAGGTATTCCTATCAAAAGTACTATGGATAACTCCACAACGATTCAGTACGCGGGCCTTATGCACAGCTTCATCATGAAGGCAAGGAGCACCGTGCGAGACATTGATCCCCAGAATGACCTCACATTCCTGCGGATCCGCTCCAAGAAAAACGAAATCATGGTCGCACCAGGTAAAAGTGGGCAGGGTGAAAGCAGGCATAAGGGAATCCAGCAGAGTTCTTTTCTCATGAGATTGACGCTGTCAGCCTGCAAGAAAAGTTCTGCCTGCTGCTTTTATTCATATTGTATAAGCTCTTCTTTTCCCAGAAGCTGTTTTGCTTTCTTCAGAGTTGAAAGCTTTTATCATTGACCTAAATTTGCTTTTTCATGTTTGAATGCGGGAAATCACTTTCTTATTTTCACGTCGATCAAAGTAGAAAGTGTTAAATAGTCTTTGAAGAGTGTGTTGCAGCCTCTCATACCTTGTGCTTTTCAGTATGAAACCACAAGAGTTGGAAAGGAATGTTTTGAGAGCAATTGCAGTTCAGCACTGTAGACTAAGTGATAAAGCAAAACAGTGTAATAGATTTTCCAGTTCAGAGAAAAGTAATAGAGCATATTATAGTTGTAATCATGAGTTGTAGAGTATAGCAGCAGCAACCTTCTTTTCAGGAAATGTCCTCAGTATTTCATCAAATTATGAAATGGGGATCAGTGAGGTGAGAACAGTTCACTAATGTGGCAAAAACTCAGCTTTGTTTCTTTGTACTACATTGGCTCCATGGTGGGATTGTGCTGATGGAGAGGCAAAGGAGGGGATTGCAGTTGCAGTAGACTGCTCCGCAGGGACTGGTCAAGGCAGATCTTAAGACAGGCTCTGGGGTTTGTGCTGAGGCAGCCTCTGATTTCCATGTGAAAGATGAAGAGAGAGGAATAAGCATTGTGCCAGAAAAAAACGCAGCTGTAGCCGCTGCAGCCCCGCAGCCTACGTGTGAGATAAGGGAAATCACTGTCTTTCACCACCTATTTTGATTCCATCATTGTTTGTGCCAGTTGCTATTATTTCCTAGGCACAAAGCAAGTTAAATTCAATTGGCTTGGGAGCATGTGGTTTCTAAAGCTGAGACTTTCTCTCAGTAAGACTCATAGAAATAAGTGATCTGACATGCCAAGCCTGTTTTGCGCATTGAGAATGAATGTCAAGACTCTAGTTCCCACAGTGTATCATCAGTGAGATATGAAAAAATGTTGAAACTTACTGTTGTTGTGAACAAATGTCATCAATGAAACAATATGTTTTTTTTCTTCTTTTCTTTCTCCAGATAAAGACTACTTCCTGATTGTCATCCAGAATCCAACTGAATGATTACAATGACTTGGTCTGGTTTTTTTTTTTTCCCTTTGCCCAATTGTTTTTTTTAATTTAATGGTAAAGAATAGAGCATTAGTGTTAACTCTGCTGTGCCACTTCAATAATGTCCGGAAAAACAACAGCAGGTGTTTTTGTTGTTTACATACAGAAAAAGTGGCTTTTTTTTTGGTCTCACAAGTCGTTTTGAGGAGGAGTTGGTGAATTAGAATCAGGCAGTAAAAAATACAATAGATTCTTTTAATAGTTAAGAAGGTAATGTAATAAAATTCTATTAATGTTCTGAAAAAAGATTATTCTTTGTATGTTTCCATGCTTCTGTCACTACTATTTGAGATGTGCTTTTACACTATTACTTCTGAATGACTGTAAATATGAAACTTGCCTATCCTCTAGTTCTGTCTTATTTTGTTGGTTTTACAAGTTACTTTGAAAAAGTCTGGCCATATCAAATTAAAAAGTGTCATCAGTGACTGTTTTTGTCTTAGGTCTTTTCCTTCTGAAGATTTTAGTTATTCTCCTAAGTGACGTGAGTTTTTCTTCAAAAAATAGAACCTTCCTAGGACTATTTTTATCCATCGGTTGCTTTCTCTAAACAAGATTTAGTCTAAGTGCATGTGCAATGTACGTAAAATTGCCTCCTGTGTTGGAGTATTTTCCTACCTCTTGCTTTTTGTTTCAGACAGAGAAGCGTTGTGGCTAAGGCAGGCCATCAAGACTGCCTTTGGAGCTCTCATACTATCACGATTCAGTAGACAATTTTATCTGGTATCTTCCTTTAGGAAATTTTTATTGATGGCCATTAAGGACTAAAAAAGGTCCTCTGATTCCTGCAAAATAATAAAGGTGTTATTTTTGTAGCCTTGAAAGAGCCTTGTAATGGCATGCAGAGCTCAAGAATTTGTGCAAAATGTCTGCCAGCAGGAGTAGGGAAGTGATTGTGGCCCTGTACTTGGCTCTGGTGATGCTGCACCTCGAGTGCTGTGTTCAGTTTTGGGCCCCTCACTACAAGAAGGACATTGAGGTGCTGGAGCGTGTCCAGAGAAGGGCAGCGAAGCTCGTAAAGGGACTGGAGCACAAATCTTACGAGGAACGGCTGAGGGAACAACTGGGGTTGTTTAGCCTGGAGAAGAGGAGACTGAGGGGAGACCTTCTTGCTCTCTACAACTACCTCAAAGGAGGTTGTGACCAGGTGGGTGTTGGTCTCTCCTCCCAAGTAACTAGTAAAAGGACAAGAGAAAATGATCTCAAGTTGTGTCAGGGGAGGTTTAGATTGGGTATTAGGAAGAATTTCTTCACCGAAAGAGTGGTCTGGCGTTGGAACAGGCTGCCCAGAGAGGTGTTGGAGTCACCATCCCTGGAGGTGTTCAAAAAGTGTGTAGGCGTGGCACTTTGGGACATGTTTTAGTAGACATGGTGGTGTTGGGTCGACGGTTGGACTTGATGATCTTAGAGGTCTTTTCCAACCTTAAGATTCTATGATTCTATGTTTGTCGTGTGTGTGACAGACACAACTCTGTCTTGTACTGAAGAGCCTTAGTGATGTGCAGAACATCACAGCCCGGATTCAGAAATGACATGTATTGTCTTGCACTGCATTTTGTGTACTCAGGTAGCTCGATACAGCTAACTGCGACAGCTGGGAGCGGTGCTCAGAGAGCGTGGTTCCATCCCCAGTCTCATTGGTTCCACAGAGAAGGGGGGCTTGCAGGTAGCATAGCTGCCTGCTCGCGCTTCAGCCTCCTCACACGTCTGGCCTCAGGCCGCTTGTGATAGAAGCATTTTACCAGCCTGAAAAGGAATTTCCCCTGAGGTGCACCTGATCGAAGAGACACAGCCCACAGGCATGAAATGTGCTGTACAATTAAAGAAAGAACTTTGATCAAGTAACTGTGGATTTTTAGGGGATACTGCTTCCTGTGCTAGTGAGAGAGCACTCCTGACTCATCTGTCTCTGTCAGCAGAGGTGTATAACCCGTGCTTAGCCCTGCTCTTTCAAAATTACAAGCAGGAGCAGGAATGCAATTTTGTTCATGAATGCGTGATGCTGTCCAGTTCTACACCAAGGAACAGACTAAGAATTTATGGATGATCTCAGCAGGTTAGGGGCTATTCCAAGCAGTTGGCTGCAGTGCAGTTTTGGAGTCAAGTAAAAAATGTTAGTGTTGACTTGGACACTTTACTGGATTTGGGGCACAAAATGATGGGGTGGATATGTGGTGACTTAAACAGCTAACATAACCTGTCTGTTCAGCATTTGTTTTCTCTGCATTTTCAGACTCGGGCATTCATTTATAAACTATGTCTAATTTTTTAGGTAGTGTTCATGACCATGAATGTCCAAAATGCTTTTAGAGATCTGTAAATGGTCAGTCCTGCAGCATCTGGGTGAGGGTGCTTTGCAGTATTTTGGGTATCTCAGCTGTCATCGTGACTCAGTGTTGGTTGTTGCTCAGTTCATGAATTGTTTCTGCCATCAGAGTATGTCTGACCACACTGAGTTGGTGCAGGCCTGGGATGACACTTTGTGCTAAGAAATGACTGACGTAAACATCCATCTCCTAGTCGCAGAAAACTGACAGATAACTCACATAGTGTGTATTCTCTGGCCCTTTTATTATTGAATCTTGTTTTAAGCCATGCCATCAAAGCAATGAATAGAGTCTGAAATCATGCTCTGCATTTGGAGTAGTTCCTGATACACAGCAGCTTGTATAACGCATGTGATCTGTCCTAATTTAATTGAATGCTGTCTGAAAAAAAATTATCTCCAGCAAGCGGAAGTCTCTGGATAATAACTGAATAGTGAGGCAAGGCAGAAGAAAAACGTGACTTATCTCCTCTGTCTTTTGTTGTTCATAGCCAGAGAAATGTTTCCTTGGAAGTGGTGACCTGCTTATGTATTTTGGCTTTCCCTAGTAGGTGGCAGTGTTACTCTTTTGAACAGTGAAGAGTATCTTTAGTGTCCTGCATTCTTTTGGACACTTTCTGAAGGATAGGTGCCCTACCAGTGGCTTTGTGCCATATCTAATTTTGGGACAGAGAGGTGTCGAGGTGGGTTTTTTAAACAAGCTGTAATAAATAGCCCTATTGCAAAACAAAGATCACACCCATTTTCTGCATTGCGTTGAGACCATAAATGTGCAGTGAAATTACCGAGTTCCTGGTGTATGCTGGTTGTTTGGGGTTTTGGAGGGAGTTAGGGGCTGGTTCGGGATTCTTCATTTTGTTTGTTTGTCTTTCAAGGCCTGTTAGCTGTCTGACCTGAGATGCACTGCAGAATTTGAATAAAGGGGTCTTGAAGAAGCTGGTTTTGGAGTCTGAAGGAGCTTGTCAAATCTGTCTGGTCAGGGGAGGGCCTTGCTTATGCCATGCTGGTGCTGCCTTTACACTAACATTCACAATTAATCTGTTTTTTTAAAACGAGAAGGGGTGGATGAAGCTGAAGAACAACAACTTCCATTTAGATACTTCTTGTGGAGAAAAAAGTGTCTTATTTGGATCAAGAGCCTCAGAGAATCACAGAGGTCCGACCAGAAGCAATTCCTCTGTATGCAAGTTAGAGAAGGATTTCACTTTGCCCAAGTTATCTTAAAGAGGTGGGATGAAGTTCTGCTGCTTGTCCTGTGTTTGCCGAGTCTGGGCCTACCCATTCGTATGGTACAATTATTGTCAAATTGAGGAAGAAGAGAAAAATAAGCATTATGGTTCTGGTCCTTTTTTTCTAGCCAGAAAGCACGACGAGTGCTTGGTTCAAAGGAGGGCTTGAATAACCTTTGCGATCTGTGCCTTAAAGCTGCTTTGTGTCATGGTTGGAGACTGGCCTAATTTGCTGTCTTGGAGAAGTCAGTTTTGATGGATCCCTCTCTTGAAGGCAGAGGAAGCATCTACTGCGGAGATGTAGAAAACAACCCCTAATGCATTACCAAGCTAATGAAAGGAAGTTTGAGGTATGGCTCTGGGCTGTGAACAGCAGTGCTTGAGGCCCAAGGACGTGCTCTCTTGTGTTGACGCTGCTCTGAGATAAGGCTCTGGCAGAGGAACGGAGGTGGTAACATTAATGCCGCAAAAGCTAGGCTTGTGGAAACTCATTTTCTGTGAATCTTAGAGCAGCACTTTAAAGCTGCTCCAGCTTGTGTTTGCTCCAGCGCCCTCCCAAGCAACTCTTCATCTGCCTGAGATGGCTGAGCTCTGTGCAGCTTTCCTCTTCACCTATGGGACATTTATGTTTGATCTTTACACTTTTGTTACGTATAGCTACCTCTATAGGGGATGAAAGTCTGGCATGGTATAGTTACACCGATATAGGCTGGCCTTATGTTAGTAGAGCTAGGGCAGCTCCTTGAACCAGTATCGTCTGTAGGAAAAGCTGTGGCAGCTGGGGTGTGCAGGGACAGTGAGCTCTGCCAAACGCTGCCGTGTCAGAGCATCACCACGATTTCTGTTGCTGAAAAATTCCCTTCCTTTACCAGCATGATGGGATTCCTTCGGGGAGATTTTCCCTCCATGGTTTCACAAGCATCTGGGGTGCTTATTATCAGTGGTGTTTACCCTGTAGGAATGCTGGCACACGGAAAGCTTGTTGTTGATCCTAGGTCAGGTTAGGACAGCTTGCTGTTGCCGGGTTTGTACAGCTGGTTCCTTCCATCTTTAAACCTTTGACTGATCCAGGGTTTTTTGGATCTGAAGTGCATCTCCTTAAATAAGGAGTTTTGCCAATGACATCAGTACGAACAGGCGAAAGAGGTATTGCTGTGTGCAAGATTTTTCAGGAAAGCTGAGGGCTGAAGGAAGAAGTGTATAAATCATACTCTGCTCTATTAGAAGTAAAACTTCCTTGATCCATGTCCCATTTTTGCAGGTACATTAACATGCTGAGAAGCTCCAGGGCCTCCATGAACCAGTGTCTTTTCTCCAACTTGGGGTATATGAATAATCTGCTATGGATTTATGGCCCCAGTCCTGCAACGAGTCTGCATGGATAAAATCAGAGATCAAATCACTAAATTAGAAAGAGTTCCTCATGCCTCTCATCAAAAAGGGGTTAATACTTTATAACAATAGTAATAAAAAATCCTTTGCCTGGGGACGCAGTCTGTAAAGTTGATCAGCTTGCCATGTCTAATTCGATATTACTGCTTTCCCTTCTGTGTTTTCTGATTAAAAGGACCTTTATTGGAAATTAATGTCTCTACCTGTATCTTAATTATAAAAGTGAATCTGAAGAGTTTACACTTCCTTATGAGGATGTGTAATGACTGCTACTGCTTGTTCAAGGA